AGGAATTAATTAAATGAAAGTGTCAATGACACTGTAGCTCACCACAAAAAGGACACAAATGAGTGAGTGAGAAGAAGTCAGTTTTAATTGAGCAACCATCGACGTACATTATAGAAACGAAGAGTATATATATGGGAGAACTCCCATTATATACTCTTGATATTTATGTGTAATTTTTTTATGTGAAAATAAATGTTTGCGATGTGAAAGTCTGAGATGTGGGCGAGTGATGGCGTTACACCTAAATGATCGCCATGTAACGGTTTTATAATATTCAGATTTAGGCACTGCCTAAAAGTGGAGCTCCCGTTGTGTAACGTGTAAGATTGAGAGGATACGCTTATTCCACGTAGCTGCTATATACCGCGTGACAATGGTGTTTCCCTGCCCATAACACAACTTTTGTCAAAGGTTAATTGGTTGCATGGAACTTGGAAGTGTTTACTTCGTATGAGTTTTTCTAGGCGGTAGCACACGGTTGCCATCTGTATATCGCAATAATAATTTATAAACCAAAATGAATCACAATTTGTGACGGTAGATGGCGCTATACCCGCTTGATGTTTCTTTGCGATGGCGTTCGAAATAAATAGGTTATGCTGCGTTCCGGCATGTTTTGCAAAACTTTACTCTAATATAGACGTTTCATCGGCAGGGTGAAGCGGAAATACCAATTTTGTATTAAAGATATTGTCAATGAAATCTTGTAAAACGAACCAGACGAGTGTGACACCACAGACTGTTTGTTATGTTGACGGACGGAAGAACGGACAGACGGACGACGGACGACGACCCATGGCAATAGCTCAGCTTGACGATGTCAAGATGAGCTAAAAATGTGTGCATCTCAGCACCATAGCTTTTAATATGGCTCAATTGGACATTCGTCCCTTTTTCCCAATAATCCACACACCAAAATAGCATCAACTATCGGCGCAGTTTTAGGTGATATACAACAGGAAAGACAAACAACGCACAACGAACATGACAATCATGTGTATACACGCTTACGCACGCACCGTTTTCCAGTGCACATACTCGCTATGACTGAAAATGCTATTTAGACACGACTTCCCTTACAACGCGCGTTGCAGTGCATGCAGCTACGGCCAGACCAGACTCGCAGAATCTCAGACCGGAAAATCGCAAACCTACGCCTGTCGGAAATATTTCAGCACGTTCTCATTTCATCACGTGAAGACATGAACACGTCTAACGATCTTCATTTCTCTAACATGTCATCTGGTCTACGATTAAACAGTTGGTTAAACTGGTAAATACATGTGCCAAACGTTCTGGTAAAAAGAAGTGAAGAGTCATAGTCTGACTTTCTGTTTAAAGCTTCAGTCAGATCTGACATGCCCTTTAGCTAGCATTACAATACACGTCGCTTTACCTGACCATACAGGTGGAAGGATTTTACACAAAATAATTCATCTAATGCTCAAACCAGCATCTACATAAATTTGCTTTTAATACTATTAATATTATTACACCACATTAAGTATATCACAAAATGTTTTGTCATATATAATATACACGCTGGTCAACAAACACGCGCATACGCACGCACGCACGCACACACACGTGCATACCAATGGTTAAATAGTGCAATAATGATGCAAGTTCACGTGTATATTTATAGCTACTACTGCTACTACTACTACAACTAACACTACCACTACTACTACTACAACTAACACTAACACTACTACTGCTGCTACTACTACAACTAACACTACCACTACTACTACTACAACTAACACTAACACTACTACTGCTGCTACTACTACAACTAACACTACCACTACTACTACTACAACTAACACTATAACACTACTACTGCTGCTACTATTACTACTACTACTACTACTACTACTACTACTACTACTACTACTACTACTATAACTAACACTACGACTACTACTACTACAAATACTAATACTTATAGAGCGACGCACAGCAGCTACTACTTCACTACTAGAATGCCTAAGATATATTTATGGGTATGCTGGCTTCCAATGTTTTTCTGTTATTCTATTACCAGTTTAATTAATCTGAATCATAATATATTTGCAAGTGTAGCAGATGCATCAAATAAACATCAACTCTTACAACTGAAGCCATTCGATTCTCTTCGAAGTACACTACTATTGAGCGAAACAACTCACAGAGGGCGCTAGCTACCAGCAAGGTGTGGCGCATCACGTATTGCCGCTGTTAAAATCTACGAAACTGCCCACGACCTTGCTTCGCTTCTTATAAATGGCGCCAAATAATTTTTATAAAACACAAACTAGTTTGCTAGACAAGCTAGGGGGAATGCACAGTAAAGCATGACTAAGTGATATGCTGTAGAGCCAAATGTTGTCTCTTCAGCACAAGAGAAATAGGCAAAATGTTTAGTCTGTGAAAGAGTTACAGTGTCACACTGGAATGTCGTCTTTGCATTATTTGAAATGCGCCACTCCTACATGCACGCATGCATTTCTTGCATAAAATTATATTTTAGTTTCGCTGTAAATTCAGCTGCAGTTGCTTTTGTGCATGAACGCATATACGCCACAAGGACTCAACATGGCACGTTAACGGCTGCACACAATTCAGGGAACATTTTGTAATAACTACTAACTAATTATATATCTGCATCAACTGCAATGACTATACATGTAAATTACTATCTATTTTGGACCTTATTTATAGAGGGAAATGACATATCGCAAATAAACATGCTGTTATCATTTCAATGCGCATGAAACACGCTTTTAAGCACATATAGCGCACTACTATAATTTGAACTGTCTGGTTTGGCCAGACTAGACTAATATTTTATACCTGGAAATCTTATCTCTTGCCTACGTGCATGAGCTATTGGCTCGAAAACCTTGACAAATAACACCGTTGTAGACGGATACGTTATTTGAGAATATTTCACGTGCTGTTATTCACTTCAGCAGCACAATTAAAAACGTTTAGTAAATACCAACCGACGAATTATCACTAAACTAACAACACGTCTTGCTAACGATAAGATATATATTCCAGCTGACAACATAGCTATTAAAACAAACGTGGCAGGTACAGACATAAAAATGACAATTTTGCTGTTGCAAAGCTTAGTCAGTCAGTCAGTCAGTCAGTCAGTCATACAGCACTCGCATTGAAACTTCAGACTTGCACATGTATGTGTTGAACAAAGAAGAGCAGCCGGTACGAAATTTGAATATTAAATATAACGAACCAACTTTAAACCAATTCTGGATGGACATCCCATGTGTACCTTTTCACAATACCCAGGAAATTAACGAGGGCTCACTCGAGGAGCAGGATACCGAGAAAGGCTGCATTCACTATTGCTCCGTGGCAGTTATATATCAAAATTTCATCTCCTGAAATTACTCTGAATTTCGGTAAAGATTTTTCAAACATGCGCAGGCACAAACGAAGATTTCCTTCTGTGAGTGCAAAAATTTGATAATAATATCTACAGGGAGCGATGGCAGCAACCTCGCAGCAACGTAATGGCACGATACCTGACTTGTATTATGGTGGATTTCACCGACGGACTGCAGTGCAGCTGTATTGTTTGATGCTGTGGCGTAGCCATTCAGCACGTGGCTCTCTGGGCTGGGCACTAAGTGCCAAGTGATTTGCTGGACATTACCTGTGTGCTACATACCCGGGCTTTCAGCCCCATCTCCACTGAACCTTTGACAGTAGCAATTCAGTACCGTTGATACGCAATTCCAAAAGCAAGCTGCATTATTTTTTGTTGAGGAACCATTGTTTGTGGATCACGTCTCTTCCACTAGGTGCCGCCACCTTTCGTCATAATGGCTTCATGCAGACATATTTTATGTTGTGAATGTCACAGTTGGTCCGGTGTATACCGAAATGGAATTTTACTAACGTATATATATACATATAGACATAAAAGTATTCTAATGCCATCATGCAATTTTTCATTTTGGTGCCTTTATTGGCTTTGAGGGATACTGTGTTTAAATTGATGACATGACAACGACAAGTGAACATTGAATATACCTAAATGGTTGTGCGAAACAAAATGGACAATCTCAGTGGCTTGCTTGAATATGCCATCAAATGGGGCCAAAATTCACAAAAATTCCCGTCCACACAATCATGTTCCGATACTAGGAGGAACGTTGCAATTTACTAATCTGAAAGATCTTGGGGAGCTTGCTGGAGACATCAGTTTTGGAATGCATTGTATCTTCTCGCCACAAATAATAGACTATATTAATATGCCATCATCTAAACCTCACACAGAGTACATTTTCTGATCGCACAAATCATTTTTACCTAACGGTTATAAAAATATGGTCTGCCAAGTTACAGCAAATATTTTACAATTCAAACAAACACGCACGATATCAAGACATTCTATCTGCCACAGAGTCAAATTTTGCTGTTGCATTTCAGAATCTTGCTATTGGGCTTGGTGACTTGAGCTACACTTTATTATTGCCAAAGGTGCAAACATTTACTGTGAAAGTTACGTAGGTACAATTTTACGTAGATGATGTTGCTTGTCTAAACAGTTAACTGATTCTATTAAATGGAACTGTGTTCATCGACAACAAATGTCTTCTAACCGCTACAACACCGATCAGGTTGCATCAAGCCAAGGTGCCAGTGAAATTATAAGTTGCAATTGCCTAAAAGTTTAACTAACTGCAACTGCCATTTATAGCTTCCATCTACTTCTCATTGCTATCCCCGAGACAACCTATGCTCGTGCACCTCTCATTTCTGGACTAACATGCGACATCGCTGTAAAATGCATCATCTAAATGTTTACATCTAAAACCCATACGGATAATTTGGACAGATTATAACTACAGTTACCACAGAGCACGAGAGACATCCTACATAACCTTCTAAAATCTCAAAGGCATACACAACAACATGATATATAAATCACTAAACACATACTCAAATAACTATTGAGGAAACTGAATGCAGAAGTGAGGGCCTACCTAGTGACATTGCATGTGTCAGCAGCGCGCTGTCGGCCACTTCTGCCGATGTCCTTGATAGTTCCACCAATGCCTCACAGTGGAAGCCCAATCTGCCGTTGTCACCTGCGAAAAACAGAAGCCGACTTTACACATTTCTGCGTGAATTTTCGCTTCTAGTCTAAGTTGGAAGAGCTGGCAAAGTGAGAGCGGAGATTCGCAGGTTTCGTATGCGCACGGTGCCATGACGTTTGCGCAATGCGCACAACCGCATCCAATGAGCGAGGAACGCAACCAGCGCCTCTACCCATTGCAATCGCTAACTAATGCAGCTGATAATGCGAGACAAACCTCGCACTTCCTCAACCAGGCGGAGACAACAACGGCAAACATGGTCTTAGCGATTTCCTATCACCTGATCAGGACCGCTGCCACCGTGTTCCTCCAATGAGGAATTTTAAAGAACAGCCCAAAAAGAAACCTTGCTGCACACAGACCCCCATGGCCAGTTGAAGAGCGACTTGGTGGTAACAGACAGGTCTTTCCCAGTCCACTGCGGCCACGCATCTACATGCTTAACCAATATTACGCTACGTAGCAGAATCAAAGAAATCGTGGGAAACACTGCCGCTGGTAAAGCAAAATTTTGGAAAGTGAATAATATGACGGAACCCCACTTCATCTTTAAGTTCTGACATCATTCACTGCATGCTACATATTTAGAAGAAATTATTCTAGTCCGATTCAACTCCGCGCAGAAAAATCTAATAGTGACGAGACTTGGCAAGTCCTTCATGACTGCCAATAGGCACATGTAACACCGCCATTGTCGTGTTTGAGCGCTGGTGCATACTGTGAATCAGAAAACCAAAAAACAATGTCTAAGAATATTTCGGAAGATTTGATTTCAAACGCCGGTCTCTGAAAACTGCAACAAATGGTAAATTACTCGACTAGACTAGAACATGGTACCTCGCCGTGAAACCTCGTCAGCCTCCTCGTAGCGTCATCGCCCAACTGGCATGATGCCCCCTGAAAAGTAAAATGGCGGCAGATGACGTACAAAATGGCGGATGGATACAATCGCCCTCGGCGTCCTCCAGCAGGAATGAGGACTTACGCGCAAATAAAAATGTGCGTCAAACGGCGCTCAATTCGCAAATCAACGTGAACGGTTGACCAGTAGTACCATAGCTCGAGACCGTATCAAAAAACTTGTGAATTTCCGAAAAATTTGGCACAAGGAGTGCCGCGAATGTTCACACAATTCACGCTATTTCGCAGGAAAACATATTTGTAATACCCAAATACGCGCACTCTCGCTTGGCTCTAGGTTAGCTAACATAACCAGGACTAACCCTCACAGCGTTCCGCGAGAATCAAAATGGCGGCAAATATCTCCTTCGGCTGTCCTCCGATTGTCAAACATAAAGGTTCGCGGCGTGCTATAAAATAGCATGCAGCCGGAAAAAAGAACGGTGAGCAGAGCCTGCGCACCCAGTCCGAGGCTATCTGCGCACGAGGTGTGGCTCCGACGTGTCGCTCACCGAACTGCCCGAAGATCGGCAAATTACGCGAAAACGCAAAACTCGCAAATGAAGGTACCTGTATCTCGTGAAGCTGTGACTGCCGAATCCCCGCCGCGCGCCGCTCGGCAACGAACAAAAGCCGCTGCCACGTGCCGATTTTGCTTCTTTTTTTGGCAGAATCATTCTTTTCTAAGACCAGTTTTGAATCTACAACCGCACGTCTTCGTTGGCGCAAAGTGTCCGATCACCCTATTCAACTCGCACTCATTGTAGATTCATATCAATGGAACCATTTTTTTAAACGTGCAATACGGCATATTCTTACGTTCAACGTCACGTCACGTTCAACACGCAGCCCATTTCTGGGCAACCGCCGCCCAACTGTCATGGTTGTCCGCGTAAAACAAAATGGCGGCAACGCATTAATTGAAACCTGCCTATTGAGTGCCGATCTACCATACACACTGTCCGCCAGCCACAAACAAATGGAAAACCTGGCGGAAAATTAAGTAGTAAGGGTCTCGTACTGCGCACAGGCCATGACGCCATTTGCTCGCGCAAAATTCCGTCCAATAAGAATGGCGAACCAAAACCGCAAATTTTTGCCGAATATTCGACCATGCTGTTGCGTGAAATCTCGGTGCCCGGCATGCCTTTTCTTCATCTAAGCCTCTTCTCCTGCGCCGCCATAGATGCCTGAAGAAGCACGCCAACCTGTCAACCATAACAACAGACATCGCCAACCATCACGTACCACATGTCTGGTGCACTTCTTTTTGGCTGCCTCGCTTCTTTAAAATACCAGTTTTAATCTCAGCAGCTTACCCTGTTAAGTAGCCCATCGGTGCAACCGCCGCCTTTGTTGTCGCCGCGTCATAAAAACAAAAAAAATTACTATGTAAAAACGTGGAACGGCTTCTTCCAAAATTTCCGTGGCCGCCCGCGCCGAATGCGGAGCGGGAAGTGGCGAGGCCTGTCCGTCCGAGGAAGCACTACTGAACGCCTGCGCCACTGCACCGCGGAGTGACAGATCGGCTCGTCTCAGTAGAATCCCTACGCCCAGTCCGACAGAACAGTGTGCACATGACCGTGCGATAGGATCGAAAGCGAGCCGACGAAAGGCGAACGTGTCCCAAGAAGATGCACGTAGCACGCTGCCTGGCCGATCCTACAACGCTCGCACTGCGAAGGTTAGGAAGGTAAAATTTTGACAAATGCATTGAAAATGGCAAAACCAATAAACAGATGCTAAAGTCGACCAATCAGACGGCGCTGACGTCAGCGAGGAAGCACACCGATGGAGGAATCTAGCGAGCGATGCAGCCCACCCGCTTCTTTCTCTACGCCATCTTGCCTACTCATCCGAGCCCAACTGAAATGGCGCTCTTCAATTCTTAATCGACAAAAAAATATTTTCTCTTAGACTCTGCAGGGGAGTTTAAGCACTTATCAAAATAAAATTACAGACCACTTTCAATCCCATCCAGGTGTAAAATGAAATCAAAACTTGTAAAATCAAGACCCAAACTCCACGGAGATGCTCACGATAATATCTCGCTTGTCAAGTTTTTATGATACTCCAGAAGGCCAGACTAAAAAAATGCCAAAAAATTCTCCACCTTCAAAGAAGATGAATGACGCATATTAAAAGTATAAACTGCAGATCCCAGAGAACCAGTTATGTATGACAACAAACACGTACAGGCTTAAGTGGTCGCACGCTGCCATGCTGGATCTCGATCAGCTTTGTTCTGATATCAAACGCTACATGCCATTTAGATGACGGCTAACCGGCGGCCACCCGCGCATGCATCAAACTCACCACCGATCCGAAGCCTTGCCGAAACATCGTAAAACAAAACACTGCCACTAACCTGCAACTCTCCCGACGCGGAAAAGCCAGCATTTCGGATGGAGGATGCGCCGCAATTGTCGAGCGCCGCCCGTCCGGGAGGTATAGAGCCCGCGAAAGGAAGTTTCCACAAGCCGATATTTCAGCTACACATGTCAGGCAGCAGGCAGAGGGTGCGCAGTGCACTGCACAAAGTGCATAAAAAACACAAGGTCACGTACGGCTTGTCTGGCTGTGCTGCCAACATGGGGCTTAAAGTAAAGAGTTAAACCCAGCCCTGTCAGTCATCCACTCCATGTTGTAACCATGCTGCGTCTGGTGTAGACTTCAAATAAGAATTCCATAGGCGAAAAAACTAGTCTTTCTTTCTGGAAACTCCTCTCTGCAAGCCGCGCAACGTAGGAATACGAATTCAGAGTAATGTTTGCATTTGCACGCGAGGCCTGTGTGCCTGGCACAGACATCAACCAGCTAGTTTAACTATTCCACTCACCGACCAAGGCAGTGATATTAAACGAACCACAGGCCCAAAAACGGACCGTTTAATTCATGCGCACAGCGAGATCTGTTGCAGAGCAACGACTACTGAACACCAGGCATGGCAGAACATGCACATTCGCATGCACAACTACACCTCTCTACCATTTAACTTAAAAATCGTGAAAATAGATACGAATGTCTCTTTTCAGTAATAATGCTTCCTAAATAATACCATACGCAAACAGAATGCATTCGCCACTCGCGAAAATATCGCCATCCAGGCGGCCGTCGCTATGTATTTAAGTTACAATTCAGACTTACGCACACGACCGCCAGTAAAGAAAACTGCTCGTCGCTATGAACGCCTACCCGATCAGTGATCGCTGCCTGACTCTAGCCTGATGCGAAACCGTCGCCATTTTTGAGACAGAGACGAAAACTCGCCAGCCCCTCCAACGCTTGCGTGCGGACTGAACAATGAGCAGAACCCTGGCAAAATCTTCAGCCAAGCAACGAGTTAACGGCCTCTAGCTGTCCACCGTGCCGACCGGCTACTGGCTACACCCATGGAAAATCTACGCTATCAGAAACCCTAACCGCTTTGTGTGCAAATGGAAAGCAATCCTCCAGCTACACAGACACGCGCGCGCGCGCACACACGCACACGCACACACATACACGCGCGCGCGGGCGAATAGAGCTGCGATTACAACATACCCTACCTAGGTTTGCTAGTAGTATCCTGTCCTTCCTGTCAGGTGATGACGGCATTTCACAGGATATCTGCATCGCTGTTCCTTCACTCTATGTCTCCATATTGATCCAAGACTCGATCGTCTAGCTCTCAAACACTGCGTGCGAAAAACAGCCAGGCAATGTAATCCACAGAGGCGATATCCATTGAACAAACACCTTTGCCGACACAAATCTATCCATGTCTGCTCCTACACCTCCAACTAACATCTAAGTATGTACAGCAACTTGCATGTATAAGCCAGTAATGCTGCAGCATGGGTAGCAGAAACCCGAAAAGCCCAACCCACATAATTTAACCCAATCAGGAATTTTAGGGAATATTTTGGTAGATTAAATTTACTGTCAGCCTCGACACCGTCATCGCTGTGACATCACACAAGCTATATTATGCAGATCAGAGAGCCCCCAATTAAAGCACAGGCACTAGTTACTGCTAGTTAATAGCAAGCTACACAAGAGCAAGAACTTTACCATCAAAACATAATTTATAGGCAGCATGTTTTCAAATGACAGGCGCAAAAGAAAGCATTGCGTAATTTACCTTTCAAATCAATTCGCGAGTTTGGTGTTTTCTTGCCTATTGGTTTCGAAAATGTTTGAAAAGAGCACTCAACCGGCTAAACTACAAAATGGCAACCATTGATGGTTTGCCATGTTAAATGACAAGGCTTCGTAAGCCCATCACGGACAATTGCCACATTATTCCCCCCTGGCACCAGCACAATCAAACGGAAAAACTGTAAAGTGAAAAATAATTGCTCTGCAGTAGCAAATCGTAGGTGTAAGGTACCTAAGAGAGATTTGTACATGCCAGTAAACAGAATTCGTTGGCATAATATACACTATCGTGAATAATCCGCAGTTATTTTACAATATTGTACAGACTGTTACACGACTGTAGTCTATTACAACTGTTTCAGCAGGATTTTTTAAGCAGAGTAGTAATAAATAATTTACTATTTCATACCAGTGCACTATTGCGCCAAAGATTTTCATTGTGGGTGCCAAGAGTCGGGAAGGTTTTGGTTATCAGTTGGTAGGTCAATATATAATTACTAAACCTTCAGACCGCATAACCTTTAGATGCTGCCATTTTTTGTTTCTGCAAATTGGCGTTATCTATAATATAAGCTATAAGCTTCAACGCGTAGGGGTCCGTGCACGGCGCGGCTGCACTCGCAAACACTCTGGACGTTCTGCCACCACTTTCCTGCTAGTATTTAGTAATAAGCAGTTTGAATGGTTGATATGTAAACGGTTATATGTAATAAATAAACGTTCGCATCATTGCACCAATACGCACTGCGGGAGAGGGGGAGGGGGGAACTCGTCGCGAACAATAGATGTGCGAGCGATACAGGGTTGAGAGTCGAGCGGACTGTTTCACGGCCAATGTACATAGCTGGTGTGCCCAAACAGTCCTCACAGGGTCTATCTTTTTTACCGCTCGGAATAATTTTCTTGAAACTTTACGTGGCAGGATTGGCAATGCAACAGAATTAATTAAAACGGCGCAGGCAGCGTGGTCCGTGCAACATGGCCGTTTACAATGAAAGTGTACCATTCCTACAACCTAACATGTACCTTGGTAGGGAAGGAAAGGTATAAAACCGAAGCTCTCGTGTCAGAGATCTAAGCCCCTTACAATCCACTACTCGGACATGGCAATGCACTGGTCACTCTCACGCATCTATATGATTTTTGAAAATAATTTAAAATAGATTTTGAAAGCTAGGTACCCAGAAACAAAACTGCGCAGCGTTGAAACCATAAGATAATCAAGATGACAACTCTGGCTATCTGAATGTATATGACACTAACCGACTGACAGCTCCGAGAAAGCAGGAATTAAACATTTACGGCCGGTCCATGACAAGTATTCTTGCTCGGCAGACACGTTGCCTATGCCGCCCCGTACCAGCCAAACATGGTGGCATAAAATCATTGATCATCTCTGCAACTTCGCGGCATGAAAGGCAAGATTTCATTATTTCAGTTGAAAATATATCGATTCCTCTTGAAGCTTTCAGCCATAAAGCTAATATTGCCGCTTGCCAGGTTTGTGTATGTGAGAAAGAATACAGAAGTATCTTAGATTACACCATGCCGGCTGCCACCACACCCAGAATATAAGCTTTTCGAGGCGGGCGAATTAAATCCCTAAATCCCACTATCAGCAATAAAGCGTAGATATCTTTCTGCTGCCCTATTACGTCTCACCCGCTGTTCCTGTCTCCAAATTACACTGCCAACAATATATTTGGAAAACGTAGCAATATGGGACTGATGAACAGTAAAAAAGAAGGTACTTGCAAGTAGAACATAGACATGCGAGAAATTATGCACTAATCTACATGTATACGGTATCACTATTTGCATAGGATGCCCACCACTATGCACGTAGGCTTACGCACGTAGAATGATTGGTGACCACTGATCTCTATATACTAACTAATATAACTCTATATAATAATAACTCTATATAAATAATATGTTAGTATATAGAGATCAGTGTTGGTGACCCAAAAGTCTAATATAATACCAGGGCAAGGGTTGCACACAACAGACACTTGTTTATGCTTGCACCAACTGCTCTATCGTATAACACGGCCCTACAACCCGTCCGTTACTGGCCCTATCTCGGCCGACCAAATATTGATAAGCTAACACGTTTACCGCCAATATTTTAAGCACTGCCGGCGCATTCGTTAAACAAGGAACGGTACTTATGGGCAACTCCCACCACAAATGTTAATTCCGCACAGGCCACACTAACCCGGTTAAATTTAACTGGCAGACGGAGTTGGGGAGAAATCGTGACAAAAGAGGTACGGTAACGTTTTCTAAAATAATTAGACGTTTGGGTATATTTTCACCTTTATATCTACTCATGTAACGAATAAAGTTTCAAATCTAAGTGTCACCCATAAAGCCACGTAGCTAAAAATACAAATCTAACATGGATAACTATTCTGATATAATGTATAACAATATATACATAATATATATATATGTACATACGAGTAAACCCGTTGTCGAAATTAGGACTACATTCATATCTATCCCAGCTAGACTTTTGCTCACATTAGCGTCACAAATAACTATTTACCTGTACGGGGAAAAATAAACCTATGCGTCAATACGCAGTTCATCTACACCCAACAAATCCTTTCCTACGTGTGCCTACATGCAGTTTTCTATGAGCAAGACTGCCTGCCAGTGAGCACAACTGCTAAGACCACGTTGCCCAAAGTTAATCCCACACTGAAGTTTGATCCTGGCATATTATTATCTCTTTGATAGCCTGAATAATGGAGTGCCGTATTACTAATGTTCATTGTAGTAATAAATGTAGTATTTTGGCCCTGCCTTGGCAAAAATGTGTGGCCAATGGGAAAGTTTAGGAATATTTTGGAAGAATAAATTTACTGTCAGGGATCGGAGGGAGGCAGAGACTTGGCAAGGTGACAAGAGCTCGCTGAATCTATGCAATTAATGTAAACAAGTGTATGCAAATGAGCCTGCAGCCAATAGGAATTTTCTAGAATATTTTGCCTGAATAAATTTACTGTCTCGCCACGCTACAGACCGCCACCCATGGCGACCTAATAAGGTAACGCGGGAACACGCCACATCTGGTAGACTCAGCCCCATTATATTTACACCAATGGCGGATTTTCTGAATATTTTGGTACAATAAATTCACTGTCAAAATACCGGACGTGGGCCAGACATGGCGTGGCTATAACCCTTGTGATGCACGTGCAGCAGGCACCTGAAATCTGCTAAATGGAGACGATGCAAAGTGACAGCGCTCTGCCATTCTCGCCAGCACGCACACGTTCCAGGTCCCGCCGAGTAGTACACAGTTGTAAAATGGGCTACATCGTCGCCTTTTCCGGCTAGCTGCAGCGCTGAATTTGGGAAATATAAGCAAAATGCATCTCTGCCGTGCCAGAGGAAAGGGTTATTAACGGTTATCCGACCAAGCCACATCAGCTCGGGGCTCGCGAGCACTATTGGTTATTACGGCGACCAGCGACTGCACAGTTTAAAAGTGCGCGCACACGCTACAAATAGCGAAACTGCCGTTTCAAGCCGGGCAGAATTTCGCCTTGTTTACGACAAACAATTTACTTAGACTAAAAATATGTGGATGGTTATTTACCAAACTGCTGGAAAGTATTTGCTCCCCCCCCCCCGATTCCCTGTTTGTTACTATACTACACTCAAAACAGCATGTTTATATATCTTGAATATTTGTGAACTGCCACTACGGCTGAGAGGGTCTATGTCCCCCAGGGTAATATCGGAACGTACCTTGGTACTATCTAATATGCCGGACCGTACCTCGCCTACTCCACTAACGAGTCTAGGGAGTCGCCTACGCCTACTCCCTAACCCTAACCCTAACCATATCAGATAGTTACCAGGGTACGTTCCGATATATCGAACCGTACCCAGGGTACCCTCCGATAGTACCCTGGGGGACATAGACCCTATGAGCGCCACTACGTAGTACGTTAATGAAATCACCCTACCAACTCGCTCTCCCATTTCTCCAGATATGTACTGAATTGGCATCATTAAAGATCTATATGCATTACAAAATAGCTTAAATAATACTGACACTGCATCTAAATTTATTAACAAATCCAGCTATAGTGGGCGGATCTGCCACGCTATACTGAAGACGGTAAGATACAAGGTGCACCCCTTGTTGTATGCTCGGTACAGTGACATAATTTCATTTGACTAAATTATCAACCTAGTATAAAATACAGTTGCACTGCGGGTATAAAGAGGTGCCGGCTGGCAAGGGCATGTATAGGTAGGTCCCAGACAGACATGCGGCACGTAACTAGCCATTCAACATAACCACAGGATTGGTTACTTCTCATTAGCACGCAGGCCCATCCTCTTGATATTAGCCCTAGGGAGTGACAGCAAATAATACAGTCTAGCCAGTACCAAAAACATCACAAATTTTTGGCTCTTTGTTCACTTGGTTTACTTATACCAGGTAATTTTTAATTTTAAACGGCAATTTTCGATGTAATAAACTCATGCACTTGAAAATGTAGAAAATGGAAAT